TAAATCATAAGTGTTTGAAGCTTAATATCATAATTGAATTTTCTGCATAGATGATACTTAATGTTAAATATAATTTATTAATTTTATGTAAATATATTTGTATATTTAGAGCTAGACAGACAAACCGTCGCAAAGCTATTGAATTAATGCGAATGGGGCAACATGCAGAAGGAAGAAGTTTATTGAAGAGATCCATAGATATTACACATGAAATGGCTTTAGAGTTAATTAAACAATGCCATAAAATGAATATTGATTGTATTGTAGCACCATATGAAGCAGATGCACAGTTAGCATATCTTAATATCAGTGGAATTGCTGATGTTGTTATTACTGAAGATAGTGATTTAACATTATTTGGTTGTAAAAAGGTTTGTGTCTCCTTGTATAATTCTAATCCTAAATTTCAAAAATAAATTTATTTTCCATATTTTATGTTCTAGATATTTTTTAAAATGGATGTAAATGGTAATGGTCTGTTAGTTGACCAAGCACGAATACACCTTGCAATGGGTATGCGTTCCGAAGATTTTAGAATGGATAGTTTCCGCCATATGTGTATTCTATCAGGCTGTGATTATTTATCATCTCTCCCGGGTATTGGGTTGAGTAAAGCACGAAAATTTATTACGATAAATACAGACTGTGATATTTATAGAGTAAATATTTTCAAATGTACATGTAACAATTCCTTGAATTTATATATGAATCTGTATAATTAGTTATATTTATTTTTGTAGGCTTTAAGTCGATTAGGATCTTATTTGAACATGAAATCTTTAGTTGTTACGAAAGAGTACAGAGATGCATTTATATTAGCAGATATTACCTTTAAACATCAATTAGTATTTTGTCCTTTAAAAAGGAAACAAGTTCGTTTAACTCCACCGATGTCAGATGTAACAGAGGAACAATTATACTATGCTGGTAAAGAAACAGATCCTGATATTGCATTACAACTTGCTTTTGGAAATTGTGATCCTTTTACTTTAAAAGTACTTCATAATTTTGATCCTGATAAAATCGAGGTCTACAACATTAATATTTGTAAATATATAAAAAATTCAATATCATTAAATTTGAAATTTTTTGCAATTAGATTCAAGTTAACAAACGTAACACGTGGAGACAAAAAATAGAATCTCGTCATATTAGTATTTGGTCAAAAGAATATAAAATAGTACAAAAACAATTAGAATCTCCTCAGGAAAGGAATGTCACAGTTTGGCCCACTACTGCTGGTAAAGAAGCAACTCTTCATACAAATCGCATAAAGAAAGCCATTTTACAGAAACAACAGGATAATTTTGGTATGAAATTTGCTTCATATGTAAATTTTAATTATTAATGTATCTGTTTGAAAAAAAAAAGTAAAAGTAATTGTATAAATATTATTACAGAACACGAACAATTGAACCAAAAAGAAATTTTAAATATATATGAAACTAAGAATACAATGGATGTTGACAATAATTCGGAAGTAAATATTGGTATTCCTGTTGAAGATAAAGTATCTCCTGTTTTAATTAGAAGAACAAATCCGTTTTCAAGACAGTCAACAATTAAAACTTCTCCAAGTCTTTTGCTTCAAAGTAAAAGTCACATAAAGGGAAGAAATATAATGCGTATTAGGCGAACAATTATAGATGAGAATATTGTTACAGAAAGTAAATTTTTTTCTAAATTGACTGCTGACACAAGTGATGTTACAGCTACAACAGATGACAATGAAACATATTTAACTACTGATTCAAATAAAATGTCCATAGAAAAAGAAAATATGGAATTAGGACCGGATAGTATTAATTTACAAGTTTCTGTAATAAATGATGAAGAAAAAATGAATTTTCATCCTATGGATATAGATGAAGAGCACAGTACACCATCTCTGTCAAATGAATACAAAGATGTTGAGCGTCTAACTACTTCTAATTGTGATCTAGAAAAATCACATTTAAACGTTTCAATAAATGAATCGCTCAGAAACATAAGTAATATAAATACATCGCACGATTTAAGTACTTCATTAACGTCATCGGAACTTGATATAGATTCCGACCTTTTAATTCAACAAGATGAAACTGCTTTAAACAATAGTTTATTCAAATGGTCTGATTCAAATACATCTATACAAATAAATAGCAGAATGAAATTAAATAAAAGGAAAAATTCTTCAAATCTTAAAAAGGTAACTATTACTATTTTCTAGAAAACTGTTTCAGTTTTCCATAAAAACATTATCATGCGTTAAATTTTTTTTTTTCAGTTTGTAAATAGTAAAATGAATATGACAAACAATACACGTCGAAGCCAACAATTGTGTTCAGAACAAAAACAACAAAATTTATTAAGCATGTATGGATTTGAAAAAAAGAGTAAGCTTATTATACTATTCTTAATATATTAAAATTCCTTTCTTTCCTAAATTATTTATATGCACCACTTATTTACAGAATTATCTTAAGAAATATTCTGAAGAACATGAAGGTTACTAACAGAAAATGTGTGCTGTGCTACAACTGTGTAAAATAATCATAACAAACAAATATATGAGATTATCTATGGAAATACTGGAAAAAAGGTTTAAAAAAATCTAGCTTTATTATGACTACCATATTTTATAATTAATTTTTTTACACATTAGATGTACTTTTATAGTGAAGATTTTTTTAACTGGAATCTCAGTTGCTTGTACTATTTGGTTCCTCCCATGGTCTTGATATTCGAACATTCTCCCAGTTATCAAGGTCCAATGTCTAAAAATGTTAAGTTAAATACCACTAAGCAGTTATTTTTTGTTATGTTATTACAATTAGAAAAAGCTGAGTATATACTCTAACCAAAAACACAATGACAATACGTATCTTTTTAACAACACACTGTTTTTATGAATAAAAGAGAAAAATATGTGTTATCAATTTAAAATACTCCATATAAAATCTTAGATTTAAATTATTTTGAATTTTTATTCTTATTGTTATTGCTGTGAGTTATATTGTTATTATCTTTAGTATTAACTTTGATTGTGTTGACAATGGTATTTCAAGATAATATTGCTTTCTGAGTCGTAAAAATAATATTCTCAAATATTTAATATATGTTTTATTTAATAAATGTCCCTTAATTAAAACTTACTTTTATTTTTTCATATTCTTCTTCAAGCGTAGCGGGTTTATTCATTACAATACCGTGCGCTGCCGTCTCTTTTCTAAAGTCGAATTGTTCAGTTGTCCTGTACTTATATCTGAAAAATTCAAATAAATTGATAATTCTCAACAATATTTCAAGAAAAAATTTTTAGAAATGTCATATTAAAGAACGTACCTTATTTTTGTAAATTGTTCCACAAAAAAAGAACCTCCTATAACAAGTATCATAAAAGGTATAAACTGCCGAAAGAATTTTGTCTCATAAAACCGCTTCATTATATGTGAGGTTATGTATACACTGCACTATATAAAATGTATGCATTACAGTGTATGTTTTTAGGTAAATTACTTTGGAGCATATATTGTTAAAGTTTCTCAATAATA